TCTCGCTGTGTCTCTCTGTCAAATAAATAGATAAAATCTTTTAAAAAAAATAAAAAATAAAAAAAGTAAAATAATGTTTACAGAGTTGAGGTCATAATAATATGGAACTTTGCACCTTGCTTTCTAAATTAACATAGCATAAACATTTCCTCAAAAATTCTTCATAAACCAGAAAATCTTCCATTGTATGAGGCCATGGGTTTACACATAAGCATAACGCTCAGCGGCACTGTGTGGCAGTGAAGATCAGGTTTGGTCAGGCACGTACTAGCTGTCTGACCTTTGACAATAATAATAATTAATAATAATAATAATAATAATAATAACAGCTGTGTAGAAAAGAGTTCTTAAACTCTTTAAGAGTGCTCTCCTTAGAAAAGCCTGTTTATCATATTGGCCCTTGGCTGGCATCTGGGAACTCACATTTCTGGAGAGTTCCCACCACTCCCTAAATGTTCAGAGTGGCTCTCTTTACCTACATTGGTGGCGCAAACAATATGGTTTATGCTGAACACCTGCTTTCTTCCTAGGAGTCTGGAAGCTTGGTACCTGCCAGGCATAGGGTGCCCACATGACCAGTCCCACATCCAAACCCTGAGCACTGGGTCTCTAAGGAGCTTCCCTGGTTGATAACATTTCACACGTGCTGTCACTACTTGTTGCTGGAGAAATTAGCATGATTCCTGCATGGACAAGTCTTAGAAGCTTGTGCCTGGTTTCCTACGGACATCACCCCACGCACCTTTTCCCTTTGCTGATTATATATTCACGCACAATTTATTTTTAATGAAAATATGCTACATATACTATTCTGCAACTTGGGTTTTTTACTTTACAAGTTGCACATCTTTCCATGTCGATATACATGGATCGATCGTTCATCTTAATAGCTTGTCCATGTAATTTTTAACAACCTAATAACTCCAAACATTAACCTTTTTCCTCTCAAAAGTTAATTTCACTTTTATAGTTTCAATAATTCAAGATTAATCTGATGATTAACATACTTACAGGATGCTTGAGTGTGCAAAGCTCATACAAGACACAGCCAAGAGACCAAATATCCCTAGGGAAGATAAGAGTTCACATGCCAAGAAATATCCATAATTCTCAATTAAAGCCTTTATCCTTACAGGGCCTTATATTTGTGTATCTTGACAATTTTATAGGTTGACCAGTTTTTTACAAATGCTTTCAGATACATTTTCAATTCTTAGTCCTACTAAGGTGAGAGGTCAAATCGAAACAGTGCATAGTTTGTCAGAATCGGAGCAGAGAAAAGGTATGCCAACTTTGCTACAATCTGAGGGCTCAGTATTTACCTCAGCTTCATGTGCTCAGAGGAAATATGTGTCTATATGGAATTCTGAGCAATCTGGAGGAAGCTGGCGGGACTCAAACACAGATTGGTTTTGATTCAAAGGGTAAAATTTGGTTGATTAGGAAGGTATATTCTACTCAAGGCTACTGACAGAACCAAAGTTCTACTAAGTGATGACATAGTATCTGGCCCTCAATAAACTTGAAAATTGTGCTTGCAATAGATGACTAGAGATTTGCTCTTTAGTACTTAGCATTTATATGTGATTAGTTTAGTATGGAGTTACTTCACAGAAAAAGCATCATTAAATCTAAACACCAAAGAAAATACAGTGAGAAGTGAAACAGTCAAAACAAGGATTTGGTAAATCGAGGAAAATGGTTCCACTGTTGAGCAACACTTCCTCTGAGTGTGCCCAGGAGGAGCAGAGGGAGACATCCTGAAGGCTTGAGGAAATGAAGAGTGATTACAGAATAGGTAGGAAACAACTTCCAACTGCTTTCTAGTGTTTTTCTAAGAGTTCCTAGGCTCACGGACCACTTCCCACGACCACACAGAATTTTATCTTCACCAGGTCTTCCCTGGGCCCACATCCTCCCCTGTTCCAGAGTGTCCCCTATAGCCAGCCAGTGTGGTCCCGCAGAGAGTGCAACCACCCCGGGCTGGGTGGAACCTTTTCTGAGTCTTCTAGGGCCCTGCCCTGCGTGTGGTGGGGGCTGCATTGAACCAGGGACCTGTTTCCTGCTCTACAGCAGCTACCCAGCTGATTATTGCTAAGATCTTCCAATTATCGAAAGCACCAAATCAGCGTATTTAAATGTTGACTCCAATTTTTTACAAAGCAGTACAAAACAATGCTGCTGACCCAGGGTGCCTCTCTGGACAGTCTCACCTTCCACCCAGGCTCCACTAGCTGCATTCCTGCTCAACTGGAGGCCAAATCCCTACTTGGTATTACAGGCTATTCAAAAAAAAAAAAAAAAAAAGCCTGTTTTTCTATTATGCAGAGAAGTATCTACTATTCTTTCTAGAAATCTCTACCATCTGGGCTCTGCCCTCCACTTATCTCTTGCAAAGTCAAACAGCCAAATATCCCTTGAGTATTTTCCAAAACAAAGGGAAAATTAACTCCCTGAAGGAACTCAGTCTTCCTGCTAAACCAACTAGTTCCTCCGGCAGCTGACTTTGAAAAGTGAATTTTTTTTCTGCTTCTCCTTACCTGGAAGTAAAAACTACCTCATGTTCACCTTTTACTCTTGTGCATATTAGTATTATTCCGCCAGGGTAGGCTCTGGTATCCCACACACAAAACTAGTTGGGTTTTAAAGCTGGAAATACCTTAACAACTGCCTTGCCAACACTCTCTTTGTTACAGCTAGGGAAACTGAGGCCCACAGTGGTCAACCAGCAGGGTCGAGATGGCGGCAGGGCCAAGACTAGGGCTCCTTGCTCCTAACCCAGCACCCCCGCTGCCTTCTCTCTGACCCAGCCACAACACTTCCCTGTGTGAGGCTAAACGGTGTTCGGAAGGTATGACAATCAAACAGATGCACGTCACAAAGACTGAAATTTCCAGTGCTAGTCTTTTTATCACTTGTATCTTCAAATGAAATGTCTTTCTTCTAAATACATTCTAAAGCTTCAGGGGACACTGAAGTGGTTGGAGACAGTCGCTGCAATCCCCTTTTCACACGTGAAGAAAATACGAAATTATGAAAGTACCATGAGAAAGAGAGAATCCACCCGCTTTACTGAGACTTTCACACCAGTTGTCAGCAACTCACGTTTTATTGTTGTAGGGTTTATTCTGACAGATCTCTGGGGACAGGTAGTATGGTGTTCCAACACAAGTTCTAGCAAGTTCCATGGAACTAGGAAGTTATGTTAGATAATAAAATAATATGGTTTGTTACTGGAGTAAGAAAAGGCTTAAGACACGGACATGCAAGAAGAAAGTGTAAAAATGGATAACACAAAATTTGATGAATGTACATCTTAAAATAAAGCCAACACATTACATATTAATAACAGAGTAATAAAATAAGTTGATTTTTAAACTTATAATTCACCAGCCCAAAATCTACACGTAAAAAATATTTATGGCTAAAGGCGTCACAAAGAAATACAATTGTTACATTACAAAACTCTTAGATGTGGAAAGAGTTCCCCCTTTCCAATTACCAAAGTAATGCAGTCCCATGACTTAAAATTTGGAAAATATGGAAGTGAATAAAGAAGAAAAAAATTACCCAGAATCTTACTAGCCCGAAACAGCTATTATTAAAATTTGGATATATTTCCTTCTTGTCTTTTTTTCATGCATATTTTTCATATAGGTGTGATCACAGAGTATTTAAAATTCAGAATTCCAGGGGCGCCTGGGTGGCTCAGTTGGTTAAGCGACTGCCTTCGGCTCAGGTCATGATCCTGGAGTCCCGGGATCGAGTCCCACATCGGGCTCCCTGC